TCTCTCTCTCTCTCTCTCTCTCTCTCTCTCTCTCTCTCTCTCTCTCTCTCTCTCTCTCGTGCTCTCCTGTCAAGAAGCTATTTAACAAATTGAAAAACTGCTGTTTGACCACCTGGCTCTCTCTCCATGTCTCTTTACATGTTTATCAGGACTCTCTTTCCTTTCTTAGGTCTTGGTGGCCAGGGGCTGGTATGTTTCAGATGTGGACTTTGTCGGCAGGAGTGGCCCTATGTAGGGCTCCAGTGGAATAAACCAGAGAACCAGGTGATGGGCACCTGGTTAATAATACCTTGTTTCCCATTTGTTCATCAGGAACCCCACAGGGTGGAGGCAAAGCCTGCCTGTCTCGCTCTTCTTGTCCGTTGGCAGAGATCCCAAATAATGCCATAAACAAGGTAGACATGATTCCTCTCTCACGTAAGGTCTGCACTATGGTGGCAGCCTTGCTCCATAAAGATGTCAAGGGCCCAGGCTCCTTCTAACTCGTGGCTGCCCGATACCTAGGCTGTTGCCCTCAGCTCCATGGTCTAAGTGGGCTCACCTTCTCATTTGTATTCCAACTGGCATGGAGCAGAACCATGAGATGGACCGGGGACATGGAGGGTGAGCCCCTTCATCTAAGGAAGGTGTCAGCAAACTGCAGCCTGTGGGCTGGCCACCTGTTTTTGTAAACTCACATTTTATTGGAACATAGCCACTCTCATTTGCATATTGTCTAAGCTGAGTAGCTGCAACAGAGATAATATGGCCAACAAAACCTAAAATATTTACTTTCTGGATCTTTAAGAAAAAGTTTGTTAGGTATCTCAAAAAACTGGAAATGGAACTACCGTATGACCCAGCAATTCTACTCTTGGGTATCTAGCCAGAGAAACCCAAGATGCTAATTCAAAAAAATATATGCACCCCTATGTTTACTGCAGCGCTATTTACATTGGAAACCAAAATGCCCATCAGTTGACGACTGGATTAAGAAACTGTGGTACATTTATACAATGGAGTATTGCTCCATTACTCTGCTATAAAAAAGGAAATCGTACCATTAGCAACGATATGGATGGACCTAGAACAGCGGTTCTCAACCTTCCTAATGCCACGACCCCTTAATACAGTTCCTCATGTTGTGGTGACCCCCAACCATAAAATTAATTTCGTTGCTACTCTGTAACTGTAATTTTGCTACTGTTATGAATCGTAATGTAAATATCTTTTTGTTTTCTGATGGTCTTAGGCGACCCCTGTGAAAGGGTCATTCGACCCTCAAAGGGGTCGCAACCCACAGATTGAGAACCGCTGACCTAGAGACTATTATGTTAAGTGAAGTAAGTCAGTCGGAGAAGGACAAATACCATATGATCTCACTTATATGTGGAATCTAAAAAACTGAAATGAATGAGCAGAGTAAACAGAAATGGTCTCAGAGGTACTGAGGAAAAACTGATGGTTGGGAGGGGGGTGGGGATGAGGGAGAAGGGGAAGGGATTAGACAGCATAAATAGGTAACTACAATATTGCCACAGGGTTATGAAAGACAGTTTGGGGAACATAATAATGTTGTAAATATTTTGTAGGGTGTCAGGTGGTCACATGACTTGTTAGGGAGACCACTTCATAGATGGGGTAGAGGCGTGATCACTGCACTGTACACCTGAAGCTGATGTTGTATAATATTGTATGTCAACTATAATTGAATATATATATATAGTCACGGGATGTGGAGTATAGTGTGGGAGTGGAGTCAATGGAATTGTAATAGATATGTATGATATTGGGGGGGGGAGTGGGGCGGCGGATTGGGGAGGGGGTTGTCACCTCGAGGGGTAAAAAGTATAACTATTGCACTGTGTTGTACACCTGAGACTAATTTAAAAATAAAATAAAATGAAATAAAAATAAATAAAAAGTTTGTTGGCCCCTCTTCTCTATGATCCAGAGGCTGCCTACTTGACTTCTGCTCACACTCCATTGACTAGACTTTAGTCACATGGATACACCTAGCTGCAAGGGAGGCTGGGAAACATAGTCTTTGCTAGTGGCCATTCACTCATCTAGACTATATTAGTTATTGGTAATAGAAAAAAGGGAGGATGACTATTGCAGGACAACCAGCTATCTTTCCTATGCTGGGTCAAGTGTCCTCAGTCAGATTTTGGTGCCTGTCATTTTAAAATTCTGAGTTATAAGCCAGGTTCCTATATTCATTTATAACCATGTGGATTTTTTTTGTCGCCCCTGCCTTCCCTTCCTCATTCGGATATTTTGCCACAGCAGAGCCACTTTCCTCTGAGTCTCTTTCCTGAATGTCTTTGTCTTCAGGTGAGGAGCAAGTGCCTGGCTGTGTCGGGCTCCCTTTCATGTCCAGGCACACAGTCTCTGTTGGCGTGACTGCGCCACTTCACCATTCCACATCTTTGTCAGGACTTCGTCCAAAGCAGCAATCCCCCTCCACTCTGGGAATGGGAGGCATCCCCCAGGCAAGTTAGGAACTTGCTGCACTCTTGGTGGTGGGTGAGTAGGAGTCCTAGCAGAAGTCCCAAAAGATAAGGTCCCTCCCACCCTTTCCTACCACAGCCTCTCTCTGATCCCTCTGTGAAATGGACCCGGCCTTTCTCCCATTCTCTCCCTCAGTGGCAACTTCTCCTCACGTTGCCCCCTCAACATGCAAGCTCGGCTTTGGGGATTTTTGAAGCAGGCATGTAGCTTCTTAACCACCCTGGCGGTAATCCCGAGTGTGGCTTGGGGTTAATTTTCACTGCCAGAAGCGGTAACCCCAAGCCACACTTTTTCAAACTTTATCATACCTGGGATGCCTACTAGACTCTTGTTTGGACAGATTT